GGCAAAGAATACTTCACCATTTATTGACCACACATGACACAGTGATTGATCCTGAACACCTTTGTTTGATGGTTGTCATACACAATTTTTTGTGATTCACATCTGATGAAATGATATTTCATCATTATCCCACAATTTGTCAGGTCATCATGCACTAGTAAAAAGTCGAAAGCTACTAATATAGTGTTTATTTGTTTTCTTGCCGATGTTTGGTCAGGATTTTATTTGAAAATAATATTGAAAAATACCTTTTTATAACACGCATCTTCTAGCAAAATTTTTCTCGCATAATTTTATGTTATGAATTTAATGGTATCTTTGGTCCAAGTACAGTAATCTTGTATCTTAACATATATTTAATGTGATCAGATAAAATTATTCAAATATATTATGAAAATTTTATACGTTTGATATTATTATGAAATTGATATTACAATTTTCTACTGCTATGCAGTGTAGCAAGTAACCAATGCATTTATTAACACATGCAGGACTTTTCGTTTAGTTGCTAACAATTTAAATTCAGATTTTCTAAAAATTACAAGAATATAAATCTAACAGTTTGCTTTCAATATGGTCAAAGAATAAATCTATAAAATCGAGTAGCATTTTATTTTCTTTCTCTCAGAATATATGACATAAAAAATTCAACTTTGGGTAACAAAATTCAGTTTACCGCTATATAACATCAATACTTTATTTCACAAATATGTCGTACATATATGTATGAATCTCTATTTACATAATTTTTCATTATTCAAATTACGTTGTATAATTTAAATATATATATATTCATATTTATAATATATTAATATTTTGAAAAGAATAATTTTCATTATAGGTAATTAACTTAAGATGACTATAATTACCTAGTTTCATATATCGTTTCATAATATTTCTCAATTTTTATATACATTATTTTATTATTTCTGATCAGGTCTCTTAATTATTTAAAACTATTGGAATCTACATATAAATGCTTCATCTCAAGGAATTCGAAAAGTTATTTAAGTATCATGTATATAAGTAACACACTGATATCAATGGCAGTCGTTCCATCCATTTTTTCCTGACAATGTATATGTTATCTTATAACAAACTTACTTTTTCAACAAATATAGATTTGTTCTCAATAGCTTATTTATTGTACTTATTGCACATCATAGTTAAAAGCTCCTGCAATTTTTTAGGATCTTTATAAGCTATTAATCCATTTGAATTCTTATTTTCTTTATTGTATGTGATGCAAAGATCATTTGGTATTTCTGAGTTCATACTTTGTGATACTGTTGGTGCAAACTGTATAATTCCACCTCCCATCGCTCTTAATATTGCATGGGGACCACATGTGTCCCATTTGTATGTTGATCCTCTTGACAAAATAAAACAATCACAATTATCAATAATAACATTAAGTATTTTGTACCCTGCTCCAGCAAGAGGGACAGTACAGACACCATGCTGTTGAAGGTAATTAATTAATTCTTCATTTTCATTGGAACTGACTGCAAATGTTAAGTTTTGTCTGATATCATTTTTGATATTGTGTTCAGAATGCTTTTTCGTCTTGTCGAAGGTTACTCCCCAATAAATCTTGCTGGTATACCTAATTATGTAGATTGCTTATGTTAAATTATAATCATACAGAAAATTTCAACACATGATGATGCAGTAGTAATATAAAAGTGCTTTGCATTTATAAGATAGCAAAACAAAGAAATTTTTTTTAATAAATTAATATAATCTCGATATTTTATAATAACTTCAATTAATATCTTGGTAAAATTAGTAATAAAAAGGTAAAATGTTCAGCATATATGTAAATTTTTATTTACATTAATACTACTAACCTTTCATTGGATAAGGTATGGAAAGGTTGATTTATAATTCCAAGTATCGGTTCACCTGTCTTCTGACTATAGACACCGATCAGAACAGTCGCACAAATTAAACCATTTGATAATACTCCTTTTAAACTGCTTTCTTTTTGATCTCCTCGTATATATTCTAAAGTTGCATCTATAAATTATATAATTGAATTAAAAATAATATAATCATTACTTTTTATTGTATGATAAATTAAATAAGCAAATGCAATTAAAAAAAATAGAAATTAAAGCAGTGTTATCATATGTTATGTATTGATTTATTAGAAATGATTTCATAGAACTTTCAAGATACTTAAAAGTGCACTGTAGTATAAAATTATTTTGTCTTAAGTGAGCTTGAAGTGACAAATTGCCTCTAATCATAAATGTTGGTATTTAATATTGGTTATATTCTGACCTTTTAAAAACTAATTCTACATGAACACTTTTTGTGCAACATTTTAATTTAGTTCTCTCACCTATCGGATCAATCCATATAGCCATATCCTTCATATTTTCTATCTCAAATGTTGGAAAATCATGACTAGTGCTATTTTCAATGTCTTCGTGAGTTATTTCTCTATGAACTTCTTTTGCTAATATTTCAGCACATGGTCCATCATCACATACCTAAATTTAACTTTTTATTTTATACATGCTTACAATTCTCTAGTGTTTGGATAGCTTATTCACCTTTTGTAAGAGAGCACTGGTTTCGGCTTCCGTTTCTTTAACACTCACAATAATACTCTCACCCATAGTGTTACTGAATTTATTATTCTCTTCTCCATGTATGAAATCGTGGAGTTCTGGAAACTGAATATTTACAATTGTATTACTGGAAACTGAATATTATTCATTTGTACTAGGGAATAATAAAAATGTTATGATTTTCATATTATTAGCTATTACAATAGCTTTTAACCATATAAATTTTTAGGGAAATATTTTGTAATAGTTTTGAATTGAGTTATATATATATTGAATTGAGTGCCCACTGGTGGGTCATTCTTATATATATTTATTAATATATTTTGCCCCCATGATTGGATCAGATTGAAATAGAATGTGAAAATAAAATGTATTGGATACAATAGCATTGCCAATAAAGACGATTAGCTATATACGGTGATGAATATTTTAATGTATCGGGATGAACAGAATTAAATCGTTATTTTTCATAATTAAGAACGATTTACAAAATGTATCACATTGTTTGTTAGTAAATCATTCTAGACATAAGGATTCCTATTATTAGATTATAACACTGTCGAACTAAGATTGATAAACTGACAATATTGCATTACCTTAGTGGAAATATCATGTCGCACTGATTCTTGTATCAAAACATCTGCTAATGTTTTAAAGTCCTGAAAAAATCTTGGATTTGCATCGTTCTTTTTCTCCTCGATTAATTTACTGAATAAATATTCATTTTGTCTACATATTCTTGCGATATTTGCTGCCTTTTCAGATACGAGTATTAAAGATTTAAGTAAATCAGTCATGTTAGAAGACGTGCACAATTTTATTGTAGAAAAATACATTCACTGTATAATTAGTTTACTGTTTAATCGTAAACTATAACTGGATTATTCACATTTGCCTAACTTGGGCATTGATTTTGACAGGTCTTGTGCTGTCAAAGTGACAGTTCAATATTATTGTGTGCTGGCATCTTCCTGGGAAGCCCTTGTACGAAATTGGATTAGGTTCTGCTCTGTACACTTCTAATTTTGAATTGAGCGAAGAAAAAAAATCGCTAAAATTACATGAATATCGACTTTTGATTAGTCAAATTATCGACTTCATGATATAAATGTGACATGTAATTTTAATTTTTGTCATTTGAACTTTAAAAATTAAATTTACTTTACTACTATTTGCTAATTAACTTATTAAAATAATCCCAGTATCGGAATACATTTAGACTTTTTTAATCGAATCAGCAATGGTCTACGTGATAATTTGTATTAAGTACCTCGTAATTTTTATGTATTGTATGATATATCTAGATTTGTGTCGACATTGCTCCATTGCAATTAACAACTAGTCGGGATCAAGGCATCGCGCCTTAAGGCAAGTTGCTTGAACTTCCCGTACCGTAACTAAAAATCTTGGCACGGAACCCAAACAAAAACTACACAAAATGTGTAAACCTTATTAAAATCTCTATAAAATATCTGATAATTTGATGTGCATAAGTCCCAATAAACATTTTTGACCGGCAAATGACATTTGTTTAACTTATTTTCATTGAATGTCCATAACCGCTAGACCTGCCTTCCCAAAAATTTAATCAGTTCTTCATCTTGTCAATACAAGTAAAATGTTTTTTGAATAATAAAAATCGAATGCTTTGTTCTCTTAAAAACTGAGTAAAAAGTAATCAGCACATCTTCTATCAATAGCAATCAAATGTTTTTTGAATCGCCCAAAATCGTGAAAAATTGTATCTAAACATACACACACACCCACACACACATATATACATCCATTTTTTCTAAGGTATGCTAAAATGTTCAAAAACCTTTGGAACGTAAAGATATGCAAAAATTTTCATTTTCGATTTTCTTGCGAGTACTATAATTTACCCTACGGGAAGTTAAAAATGAAATATGATTTTTGTCTTCATTAATATTTTTTTGTCAACAAGAATATTGTCAATCTGTATATTATAGTACAGCTCTTGTTTGAAAATATTTAGTATTTTCAACTTATAGAGCATCTTCATCATGTGCTCTAGTATTAAAAGTATAGTATATGGCCCTTTCAATCACGCGAATTATATTTAAATTTCCTAAAAATAAAGAGAAGTAACGTAACAGATCCAGTCAAACATAAATAAAATTGAAGTAAAAAATTGAAGTATGAATAGTTTTAATGTACTTAGTATCGCACTGATAATAAGGTGCCCTATACATACTTATAACTTATATAACTTAACTTAGATCAATAAGTGATTCTGAAAGTTACTTTAAATTTATTGATTATTTACTTAACCTAACATTGTCACACTCAAAGTCGATTTGAATCAATTATAATACCATGAATGAAATGTAAGTGTAAAAAAAATGCTTATATTATTCATACATAATTTACACGAGATAATTTTATAAATATATAATTTTATCAGCTCTTCTGTGGAGTTTTTTCTTCTTCAGACTTATATGTATTTTTTCTTGGAAACGTCCAAAATTTCTGCGACTTTCCAAAAATTTGTGCTTCCGCCAATGTATCTGGTAACTTTTGGTGTAAGGTCTCAGGCAATAGTAGCTCCGCCACTAACCCCGAGAACATCATAAGTGATATAAACAAATACGGATATCGTACATCATATGTGGTACCCTGAAATTAGATAAATGATTTGATGCATTCAGTATTTTCAAAATCTCCTAAATTTTCAGAATTTCCGGTATCATCATTATAGTTGGTTATTTGAATTATCTTACAACAAATGGGATATTGAAATAATTATTTATACGTAACATCTCCTTGAATATTCTTACCAAATATGAAATATAAGGACCCAAAATACTGGATGCGTTTCCCAAAATTACACCAAGTGCTACTCCTGTTTGTCTCAGACATGTAGGATATACTTCTACTCCTTGAACCATTAGAACGTAGAAGGAAACGCTGACACAAAATTTGATGATTGCTGCAAATATGCTTGTAAATATGTGCATTGATGGATCTGTGGATGATAAGATTAATCTGATATTAAACTTTTTGTATAAGTTCTATGGGCATTTTCAATAATTGTTGAGAAAAGTATTTAAAATTCAAAAGCAGACATTTGAATAACAAATAACCAAGTTTTATTAATTGTAGCTTCTCTTCTGGATACGTTTTAGTTACATTATTTAACTGTAGTTTCATCCGCAACAATTTGAATCGATTTATAATTTTAATTTTTTAAAAATATTACGGTACTTTTTTCGATTTCTTGCCTGTTGATGTGTAGATTAGTGGTAGAGTCGTGCACAATGCTAATAAAAATGCCATGCATGCAGTCCATCTTCTTCCGATATAGTTTGTTGCAAATTTTCCAACTGGATAAGCTGGAAGTTCTGCGAATCCTTGATACAAATAGTTCAGAAATGGATTTCCATCCATATTACTTACATTTAAGTACAGTAAGAAGTAACTTAAACCGCAAACGATCCTGGAAATATTTAGACAATTAAATTCGTTCAGTTTTTCAAACACTAAAACATTTCTAAATATGTTCCTAACTAAAATCTATATATAAAATTTGATCAACAAATTTTAAATTTGTAATTTTTGAAAAATATTTTGTAAAACTACTTCTTAGCTTCGATCTCATATTTTAGTGCCTAAGTTTTTACCAGCATATCAATAACATTATCGTGTTCTTGGCGAGCGACCAGCTTGTGAATAAACTCATCATTCCAAAAACATGTTCAGGTTCAGACGAATAATCTTTTAGCATTTCTAATGCATCATCATTTAATGTTGCACCATTAACTTTGGCAATTGTGCGTAAAGTTTTTTCGCATTTTTTCATTTTCCCCCTGCTTGCTAGCCATCTTGGTGATTCAATCATATATCTAGAAAAATATACATTAAATTTACTTACTTGTTTATTATTATTATTTACTTACTTACTTGTTATTAATTAAAAATATTGCAAATGGCAATGAAGAAACCAGAACAAAATCAAACCAATTTCTCAACCACCACATCAAAAGCGGCATTGTGCAAATTCCAAATGTCCATCCAATTCCTTGTAACATAGCGACATGTGAGTTTTCATCACTATAAGAAAATGATAAATAATACTTATTTATAATTATAGAGATTGATAAATTCATATAAACTCTATTTCAAGATATATTATTTTGATCATTTCTAATTTCACTAAGTACTTTAAATTTTATAAAAATTTTTGCAGCATGTGAAGTCACTTTTATCACTTTGACTGAATATTAAAATTAAATTTTAGTTTACCTTGTGGATATTTCCATTCCTATGACAAGAACAGTCTGGTATAAAGACATCTGCGGCAGTGCAGTCACCACATATCCAAATACATACCAATAATATGAACTAGTAAGAAATAAGTTGAATATTTTTCCTACGATAATCAACACCATGCTGAGAAAAAATACTGGTTTCCTTCCTATTCTGTTGGAAAAAGGTTTTCTTACAATCTATGAAAATATTGAATGAAATAAAATAAATAATATCTCACACATCTCCTAATTGTCCAAACACTAGAGCTCCAAACATTTCACCTATTCGGCCGATTATTAAAGAGTTTGTTACTCTCATTTCCTTATCGCATACCCAATTTTCTTGCATCGGTATTGTCAATTCAAACCAGGTTCTGTCAAACTCATATCCATGCTGGCATTCTGAAATATTTTTTTATGAAAACCTATAATATCTGATAATCGATCTGTGAGATGTACCAAATTACACTTATATAATTCACTCTTACTTATAGTCGAGTAGTTCTGGTTTGGATGAACGTTTGTCCAGTCTGTAATATTGTACATTTCACAAGAACTGTAGGAAGCTTGACCTTTGTTATTAATATTCCTGGAAAAGAAAATGCAGTGAATCAAGAAATAACTAGTGGTGTGTATGGCATCGTGACTTGAGGCAAATTGCTGGAACTTTCCGTACCGTAACGCAATGTTCGAGGAATACTGAATGTTTTCATATAGATTGTTATTAGAAATATTGTAACATTGTCTAATATTTATAAGAATTATATAGACTGAATTGCAAAGTTGAAATTATTTGTTTGAAGTATATTAGAACTACGGTCAGAATTAAAAATAAAATATGAATTATTTTGGTAATACAAAAAAAAAATAAAAAAAAATGAAAAAAAAAGTTGAAACAAAATTTTTTTTTCCAAAATCAATTATTTTATTAAGATAAACAGAAAGTTTTTTGAATCACTTAAATCGGACGCTTAATTCTGTCAAAAACAATCATTTTTTGCACATTTTGCTCCGTATCTTTGAAATGGCTGGGCCTGCCTCTGCCAAAAACTAACAAACACTTCTAGCAATCATTACTAATTGAATGTTTTTTAAATCATTCAAATCGGATGCTCCAATTCTCTCAAAAACTCGATTTCTATTTTCTGCATTCTTTCTTCTTTATCTCCGTAACTGCTCGACCTGCCTTTGCCAAAAACTAATCAGCACATCTCCCTATCAATAGGAATCGAATGTTTTTTGAACCATTCAAATCGGTTGATCCGTGCGCCCGAAAACGTGACAGGAAAATTGTATCCATACATACACGCACACACTCACACACACACACACACTCACACACACACATCCATTTTTTCTGAGGTATGCCAAAATGTTCAGAAACCTTCAAAACGTCGAGAAATGAAAAAATTTCTATTTAGATTTTCGGCCCATTACAATAACTTACCCTACGGGAAGTTAATTAACTTTTTATGAAGGAAATAAAACTTTTTGTAATAGTTCAAATAATGTAAGTAGCAATGTATTTGAGATCAGTTACCTATATGCACACCTACATATGATAAGTTTTCAAAAACAAATAATAACTTAATCGCGATTTCAAAAGAATGAGTATTATCTGTTTTGCTTACTCATAATAAGACAAACAGGATATGATGATATTCATAATTATTTGATTTTCATTAGTATTTAAAATACCCAGAAGAAATAAAAATAGTAATATTTTTCTTCGTACCCTTTTGAGTTCATTACTTTCTAATGCTTAATATATTTTTTTTATTTTATTTTTGAACAGCAATCAGAACCCAATAGTCCTATAAGCTGTTTTGCTGATTTGACTTAATACTAGTGTGTTTGACAGATGGCAACCCAAACAGTTGTCACATCTCTGTATGATAAATTATTATTACAATTTCTGTAATAGGGCGAGTATGGTGCAGCAATGCCGGGTGAGGGCTATTTTCAGTTGGAAACATATTGCTATCTATATTTCCAAGAGAAAGTCGTTGTCAATGTTGCCTGACAACAGGCTGCTCGAAGTGGGTATCGAACCGCTTACCTACGGGCCAGCCCTATGTTTTATAATGAGTGAATAAAATCACTCTGACAATAATATAACTATTTATTTTCATCTTAACACTTATTTCAATTCAATTTATATGTTCTTTTTTTGAATGACGGGTTTATTATATTTTAGTTATTTGAAGTAATTATTATATGAGTACGACAATGAGATTATTTCTACGTTTTTTACTATTAAAAAATTTTATTTATCTATTTTATGATATAATGATTGCTTACTTTGGAAGTGTTATTTCTTTCCATTCTTCTTCTGTGTAGTTGTAATTCGTTCTTCCTGGTACGTGACACCAATGTTCGGGTATGGTCATGGCCAAAATCATGTTCATGCAGGGCATAACTGCCAATAAAGCAAATGCGACATTGTACATGTAATTGAAGCGTCTTTGAAATGGACCATCATTTCCTACCGACTCCAGAACCGTATCAAACGCTGCATCTTTTTTGCCCATTTTAATTAGTAATCCTAGAATAAAAAAGCTTCTATTTTGAGTTGTTTCTACCAACTTCTTAAATAAATGTGTAGTATTAATGTTTTCTGAAAATTCAGATAAAATGTTTTGTGTTTTTGAAAGTCTATGACATTTTAGTTGTTTTTGGTTCATTTTCATATTTAGTGAGTGGTTGTGCGTGGCTAAATCCTGTTATTTGTACTATTTTTCATGGCGTATTTTTTTGCAATATACTTCTGGTAATATTTATGTGATTTGATCATCTTCATAATAATTATGCGATTCAAATTTGATAATAATTATAGATTAAGAATTATAGCTTAGGAAATATATTTATATTTTTAAACTATAGTTCACAATACTTTCTTGATTATACAAGTATGGTTCTTTGTCTGTTTCGGTAAAATGTTTTAACTTAACTGATACCTCAACTTTTTCTCATTTACCTTCCTACTCCTTAGATATAATATTAAATTATACAATATTTTTTCAATAGGAGTATGGTATCGTATGATACAAATTTTAGATTGGTTAGTTATAAAAATGATTCTTATCTAATTTCTACATTTTGTTAGTCCTTTCATCTTTACACAATTCAAATTGCTTTTATGCAGCGCAAAACAATAAAATATAATTGCATCTTATGCAAGTGCAGCATGTTTAAAATATATTTTTACCATTTTATACATTATAAAATAATATGCACCTTAACAAAATATTTTTTCATAAAACCTAAATATTTCATATTTATTGAAATTGATAACCCATTATACAAACATTACTGACTTCATATATTTATTCGAAACACTATGTAATGATGAAATTACCCGATAATAGGAAAATAGCTATAGTGATATATAATAGCCATAATGATTTTTATTGGTTTTTATTGTCTTTTAAAACAGAATCACAAATATAATTTTTTATCTCTTAACTTTTTTCATCAGAACACAATTTGCACATTATTGATTTTTTTTTTGATTTAGCGCTAAACGTTTTTAAGATAAGTTTCATTTTCGATACAACACTAAATATAAAGCTATTTTTAACATATAATAAAATTATTTTTTCATACTTATTCAGATTATGCACATTAGTATTAATAAGTAATTTGCTTTTTCGTAATAAGCCTATTCTACTCTAATACACCAATTCGTTGTAAACGCCCATAAAACTGACGATAATTTTGTTTATTAAATTTGATTATAAATCACTACTTATATAATTACCTAAAATCACATACAATATAACTCTTAATATTTCAAGTATTTTTTCACATAATGTTTTACTATAGTATTAGAAAATATGCCCACTGACTCCTACATATTCTGTTGTAACGGTTATTTTTCGAACATGTGGCTCGCAAGTTTTTCGCAGTGCGCACATGGAGAACAATGACTGAACTAATTCAGGCTTTCAATCTCTTAATACAATGAGAGCTCTCAAACAGTCTGTTGATAAGAAAAGATAGCAATAAATAGCAGAAATCTTATTTTATATTTTTTAATTATTGTTTGTTTCCATCATAGAAATGATTATTATCATATTTGATTTGTAGAATTTACTCTAAATCTCTTGGTTGTTTGGTTTGCGCTATTAGTTTACTCTGAGCTTAAAATTTTAACGTATTACGCAGCAAATTTCTTTATATATATATATATATATATATATAAATATAATAGTATTTTTTGATGAGAGATATTACGTTTTTTATTTAATCAATCAATTTCTACGTGGGTTCAACGCCTATTATATACGTTACTTTACATGTACAGACTGTAGCATTTCTCGAACATTTACAATTTTCTTTTTTTTGTTTTTATTCAAAAATGTTAATTACATACAAAAATAAGGTGAAGTTACTGTTTTATATATAAATTCTTCGTATGTATCTAGATGAGTCAAATCAGTATTCTAACCAAATATTATATTAATTATCGTTACATCTAAATTATCTAACTAAATATTATCTAACTTTATTTTATTTATTAATTACATTGATACTTGATTTTTTGCACAAGTACAAATGCAAGTATTAATGTATTATAATAATACTATATTTCATGTATACTAGACTTGGATATTTCTTCTGGCTTCGGGCTTTTTTTAGACTTTGCTTTTTCTTTTACAAATTTAAGGTAGATATCCAGTGCTTGCTAGACCGCATTTTTAAGCCATGACCAGCTCTAGTGTTTAAATATTAGTCTGATTTCAAATTTGTGATAATTATTTATTTTGTTTTTTCAAGAACTAATGTAGAAGATCATCAGAAGGTATCCCGGTACTAATAAAAACTAATATGCTGATACCTATTCGTTTAATATAATAATCAGTAAGTTAGGTATGTATCAAATATTTCGTTGAAAACTTCTACTTAAACATTGATTTTATAAGCTAATATAGTTAGAAACTAATTGTCGAGTAATAGCTTGAAACTGCTTTCCAACCACCTAAGTAAATAATCCACTATATTAAAATATTTGAACTTAGCGATTCATTATCTTATATCTATCAGATTTTATAGAGCAAACTCTTATTGCTTAGCTACCACTTAATTTTTACCATGGAAAATCATAAAATTGTGATATATTATACAACGTTTCAAAAAACAACAATATAAAAGCAATTAGTTTTTTATAAGCCTGCCAGGCGTTCAGGCAAATATATGCACAAGGCATTGGGACCAAGGCTGTTTTGCCATGTTTTTGATATACAGGCCAATCACAAATGTGAAATTTTCATACAAAATATTTGAACAGAAAATATACATTTAAGAAATATTAATAATTGAAATATTTTATATATTAGAATTTCTGTAATACAGGTAATTTCTCAATATCTGCCTGAGTTGGTAATAGAATCTGAAACTTAAGGTTTCAAAGCCTAAGCTTTTACTATAAAACCACCACACTCTGAAGCCCAATTTGGCTTAGAAATGCAAAAAGCTTCAATGAATAATCTAGCATCCACGTAATTTGAAAATAAAATTGTTTTTCCGGGTATAGTATATTTCGCGCAAACTATTTGCTTACATTCTCTTTCTACATTATATAGTTTACTTTTGTTGCATCATTACCACCCATACTTTGCAAAATATATAATGTTTTTAGTTTATGTTCACTAGATAATATTTATGTACATTTAATTTATATCGCTGATAATTATTCCACTCTGGGTTATTTAATTGTTTAATGGTCATTTTGATTATTTATTTCAATTATCTCAATATTAAACGATTATTGTTTAATTATTTTCATATCAGTAATGTTTACTGGCCTTGTGTATCTTTGAACCATAAATCTACTGTTAGAGTATAATTTATTCATGCAGATAAAAATTGTCTCGTCATCTTACAATTAGATTAAGATGAAGACGTGACGCTACTAGACTGTTTATATTAAATTGGTGCAAGGAATTAACATCTATATTCGGCAAATACGTAAGATTTAATTAAAGTTATTTTAGATATAATTATTGCTTACAGTTTGCACTTAGAGACTTCTTTATCTTAATTTCACTCTTGAGGTAATTTACCATTCCACCTTATTTGTGATTTCAAAAA